GCATTTTCTTTCCTACATATCCCCTGCCCCACCACACACACAAATCTCAACTCAATCTGGACAGTGTAGACACAAGGCATATGATCACTTCCAGGCATTCCAGCTTGTCAAAATGAGGCAGGTTTTGAACTAAAGGGGAGGACTTGAGTTGAACGAAGTAATATCTAATAGGAAAGATCCAACTGGTTTATGATTCTGGGAATCCACTGTGGAAACTTTTTTTTTTATCTTTTCATATGGGAAATTATATACCAAGGAGGGGAGGAGAACAACTGCAGAGGGGAGACATTGCTCACGAGTTTCCTTTTTAATATGAAATATTGCTACTGAGCCACCAAGAATTAACTCCCTCCAAGACTATAAAGGAATTTTTATTTTTGTCTTTTTTTAACATACTAATTTTTTGACCCATGTGGAGTTTCTCCTGGCAGAATGCATCAACCCAACTTCATGTTTTTCCAGATGGCTATCCAGCTGTTTGCATGCCATTTATTGACCAAACCCAAAACCACTGCCATCAACTCAACTCTGACTTACAGCATCCCCATTGGGTTTCTGATGCTGTAAACCTTTACAGAAGTAGATTTCTCCCACCTTCCTTCCACAGAGTGGCTTGTGGGTTTAAACCACTGACCTTCGGGTTAGCAGCCAAATGCCTTGTCTGCTACGCCACCAGAGCTCCTTATTTACTGACAGTGTATCTTTTTCTCCAGTTTTCACGACACTTCTTCTATATACTACATTCCTGATTGTATTTGGCTCTATTTGCAGACTTCCAACTATTTTCCATTGGTCTATCTATTCATGTGCCAGTACCCCACTGCTGGAATTATTGGGGTTATGTAAATGTTTTATTATTTAGAAGAATTTCTCCCTATATTCAAGAGTCTTCCTTGTATCTGTTTCTCCACAGGAAATTTAGGATCAAGTTTTCTACTTATACCAAAACCTCTTGGTATCCTTATTAGAATCATGCTAAATTTATCTAACTTAGTTAGGAAAGTGAAATCTGTATGTTCACCTGTCTCTATTTCCTGGGAGCACCAGAGAAAAGGTCGGGAATTGGTGGAAGAAATGGAATATGTGCCCAATCGCCTCCATGAACAACTTCTTTGGACGTAAGACCAGGACTGGCTGGTGCCCCTTTACCATTACTGAATATTTAGATCAAGGATTCTAGAGAAGAATCCTGATGAAAAGGGGAAAATGAGTAACAGAATTTCAAATGATCATGTAATCCAGACTTTTTCCAGAGCCATTGAGGCCAGAAGACCCCTCCCCAAACCACTATCCTGAGGAAATCTTTAAACCTTGAATGGAAATTATCCTCTTTGCTGCTGTATGGAAAATGAATTTTCTCTGTAAACTTCCACCTAAATCACATTAAAAATTAAAAAAAAATAATCTGTGAACCAAATAATAATTTAGCCTAATTAAAAAAAGAATTTCTACACTAAACATTGCATTTAAAAAAAATTGTCTACATGTGATCCAATTGATAGCAGCAACTCAAAAGAATTGATGAGAATCTTGGGTGAGTTTGTGTTAATGATGTTGAAATCACCTGGAAAAGGTTGTCGAGAAAGATGGCACAACTTGAAGAATGTAACTAACTACTGTCACTGAATTGTACACGCAGGAACTGATATGGTGTATGCTTGTTGTTATTCTATTTTCACACACACACACACACACAAAAAAAAAAATCTTTATGGGGTTGAAATAACATATCCAAGAATATCTCAGGGTATCTTGCCATTTGTTCAAATTTACTTTTGTGTCTTCCCCAGAGTGTTTTATAGTTTTCCTTATAAAGGGTTTTGGACATTTTTAAAGAAATTTAAACCCAAGGCTTTAAATTTTTTGCTATTATAAATGGATTCTCTTCCATTATATCTAACTGAGTTTGTGTCTGTATATGAAAGAGCTGTGACTTGTAACCCTGGAGTTTTCTAACTATGATTCAAAAGCCAGAAGCCATAAAAGATCCATCAATTCAACTACCCTGGAATAAGTTTTATGTGATTAAAAAAAAAAAAAAAAAACACCATAAGCAAAGTCCAAAGAAAACTGATAAACAGAAAGGAAATATTTGTAACTTATCACAGAGAGCTTCTACAAACCAATTAGAAAAATATCAACCACCCACCAAAAAGGGTAAGGGGGAAGGACATGAATCAATAGCTCTGTGAAAAGATGCTCAACTTCACACCAAGATCCCCCTTTCCATCTAGCAGATTGGCAAAACACACGGTTGGTGAGGCTGGGGGAGAACAGGCATTCTTGTGCATTGCTGCTGGAATTAACTGGTCAGGGACTGGTAAAAGGAATTCTGGTAGCACCACAGAAGAAAACAGTATGCAGCTGTAATGAAAAGAATGAGGGAAGACACTAAAGGTAGCAACAGTGTAGTCCAGTATACAGAACCCATTATCACTTTTAATGTAAAAGCAGAAAAATAAATAGATGTATTTTAAGCCATGTGACCGTTACCTATTCAAAACCATTTTTAAAATGAGTTAACAAATTCAAGACATTTCTGACTCACCTACTTGACTGTTCTTATTTTTCCTACTTAACTCAAGAACAGAAGATGAACTATAGGAAACCAGAGAGCTAAAACTTTGAACTCCTCAGAGGTAACCCAAATAAAATGTTTAAATCAACGTGAAATTCAAGTCTGCATTTTCTTTTATTTTTTTAAAGTAATTTCTGTCCTTTACAATGTGCTGTCACACACGTACACATGTGCGTGTACTTGAACACGTGCACACACCCACACTCACGTGACTTAAGATGGACAGAAGAACAAGGATAGCCTCCAAACATACAAAGTTCCAAGTCGATTACATTTATGTGCTTTTCAGTCATTACACAACGTACAGACATGATCCATTTAATGATTTACGCTCAAGTGGTTAAACAACAAGGATTTCCTTTGAAAGAGTATACATAAAAGCTCTTTAGAAGCAAAGTACTGTTTCCTGCAAAAAACCAACCTCAGCTATACATTCTGTGTTTATATATACCCTTGAGAATATTACAGTCGCAGTGCATAAATTCATTGTGTAAAAAGTTCTGGAAGATGATTTACAAGAGACTCTTAATGCATTGTGCTCTCAGATAAAAATCCTAAGTCAAAAGATTAGTTTCTATGATAATAAGTTAAAACTGCATATATATATATTTATATATATATATGTTAGATGTATATATCTAACATACATATATGTTAGAGATCAAAAGAGGCTATAAAGAAATGTAAATAGTTGTGCTTAGGGACTTTTTGGTAAAGTTGTTTTAATAATAAATAAAAACTTAAAAAAAAGCCTCAGTGACTGATACAAAATAGACACAGATATCAAGGATTTTCTATACCTGGCTTAGAGTTTACAGGAGAACAAAGATCTCCACATAAACTACACAGCATCTAGTAATCCCAACTTGGGCAAATCACTTAGTCCAGCAAGTGGCTAGAGAGAAAAGAAAATAACTCCCCCCGCCATGAACATAAAGCGTTATCCAGAGTTAGAGCCTGGATGAACCAACTAGCTAAATGAATGCCTTCCTTCCTTTAGAATGCTTAGACCAAATAGAGAGGTCACCCAATGTCTACTGGGTTTTTATAAAAACCTACATGCTTGGTATCAAGAATCACAACCTATTCTGTAGTTCACCAGATGAATTAATTATATCCCAGTCCTCTGTGAAATCCTAGGATAAGCATGATCCCTCAATACTTCAAGCTTTTCTTTCTTTTTACCTTCCACACATGAAATGCAAAACTGTTGTTCTAGAAACACCATGGCAACTGTTTCAAATGACAGAGAAAACCAAACCAAACCTTTTGCCGTCAAGTCGATTCTGACACATCGTGACCCTATAAGACAGAGTAGAACTGCCCCACAGGGTTTCTAAGATTTACTATTACATTTTTAAAGTATTAAAAAGCAAAGATGAGGACTAAGGTGTGCCTGGCCCAAACCATGGTATTTTCAGTTGCTTCCTATGCATGCAATAGCTGGACAATAAATAAGGAAGACTGAAGAACTGATGCTTCTCAATTATGGTGTTGACAAAGAATACTGAATATACCATGGACTGACCCAAGAATGAACAAATCTGTCTTGGAAGAAGTACAGCCAGAATGCTCCTTAGAAGCAAGGGTGGTGAGACTCCATCTCACACACTTTGGACATGTGATCAGAAGGGACCAGTCCCCGGAGAAGGGCATCATGCTTGGTAAAGTAGAGGGTCGGTGAACAAAGGGAAAACCCTCAATGAGAGGGACTGCCAACAGTGGTGGCAACAATGGGCCCAAACCCAGCAACGGCTGTGAGGACGGTGCAGGGCACCAAGCAGTGTTCCATTCTACCGTACACAGGGTCGCTGTGGGTCAGAACTGACTCAATGGCACCTAAAAACAATCTTTACAGACGCAGATTGCCACATCTTTCTCCCGCAGAGCTGCTGGTGGGTTCAAACTGCTGGCCTTCCGTTAGCAGCTGAGCGCTTTTAACACTGCACCATCAGGGCCCCCTTAATGACAGAGGATATAGTATAGTTTATATAGTAAAATTAATGCTTGTAACTAGGAAATAAATGTAATTTTATTTTTAGGCAGGTCAGTTCACTCTTCAAAGAGCCATCAACTTTGAAGGACCCACAACCTTAACAATCAAGTGAAGTAGAGAAAGATGATAAAATAACAAACGTCTGAATTAAAGTCTTTTGCACACTAGGTATTGATATAAAAAGAATTTCTTCAAATCATTTCATAGGAGTCACTCAGAAACCTCCTTGCTGTCTTTATCATAATGTGATCGAGTTCTTCAAATAAAATACTAGGAGTAATTTAAAATATATATACACCTTTGCAATTATTTTAAATCATTCAATAGTTTGTAGAATGTTAATGGAGTGAAACAGAGATAAAAGGCAGTCCACATTCATGATGTTTGAAAGATAAAATTACTTCAGAAGTCAGCTGCAATCTTTGCTCATGTTCTAAGTATAGCCATTGTGATAAGTCCTGAAAGAAAAAAGAAATTGAAGAACAGTAAAAGAAATGCATTTTACAGAATGTCCCATTCAATAAGCAATTGTTTTAGACCTGTATATGTTTATGTATATGTATATGCTTAGACCTTATATGTTTATGCAGCATGTAAGCAGGCTGTTTGCCAAGAACTCAAGAAGTCCGTTTAAATTTGGCTAATATTTTACAGAAGAAATCCAATTTACAGCACAGGGCAGGCACTGACTGAATAGATTTAATAAAATCACTAATATCTGGCTATAACTAATTTAACCACCAAATATACCTCATACTTTATCTAGTCACATCAGTTAAAATACTAGTGGACATGCCATTTAAAGTGTCAGTAAAGCCAGCAGACTTTATCAACAAAAATATTCAAGAGCCTACTTGTACCCCGCCCCCAGGGCCCAAGGCAAAAAAGACACAAAGGCCTAGTCATCCTGCTTTCTCTGTCACTTCTGGAGCGACTCCATATATAAAACCATAAAAATCTAATAAAGTAAGAATATGCTAAGTCCTAGATCCTGGATAGAGTTGGAGAACAAGGTGGAAAAAAAAATTCAAAATCATTAAAAAAAAAAGACCAGGTTTTACTGGTCTGATAGAGTCTGGTGAGACGCCTGAGACCATGGCCCCTAGATACCCTTCAGGTCTGGAACTGAACTCACTCTCATGGCTTCCAAGCAAACAACAGACAAGAACATAGGGTGACCATTTACATCAGATAAAGACTCCCTAGAGCAATCAATCATGGGAAAATAGACAGGCAGTATTTGCACAGAGAGACAGCTCAGGGGGCAGGAGTGCATAGGAAAGAAGGACACAGGGAACAGGGAACTACAGAGAGGAAGTGGGAAGAGAGCTGTTACATTG